ATACTCTCTGCTTCCTATTGGTGAGCCATGACTCAATCCATGACAGCACTTTTCCCCCAATGCCATGAGCTGCCACTTTCTTTAACAGTCTCTGGTGCGGTACTCTATCAAAAGCCTTACTAAAATCTAAATAAATGTTATCGAATTCTTTATCATGATCAACGGCCTCAAAAGCTTTACTGAAGAAAGTTAATAAATTAGTTAGGCAGGAACGGCCCCTCATGAATCCATGCTGAGTATCATTAATCAAGCTGTGCTTATCCAGATGGCTTCTTATATTATCAGCTATAATTGACTAGTAATTTGCCTACAATTGAGGTTAGGCTTATTGGACGGTAATTTGACTGTAACGACTTGTCCCCTGCTTTAAATATAGGAATTACATTAGCCATCTTCCACATATCAGACACTACACCTGTTTGAAGAGAAATATTAAAAATATTAGTCAGTGGTTCACAAAGTTCCATTTTACACTCTTTAAGAACCCTTGAAAAAAGTTCATCAGGGCCCAGGGATTTATTTTGCTTTAACCGGTCTATCTGTTTGATAACCATTTCGCTAGTGACTGTGATATTGCATAATTTATCATCTTCAGGCCCACTATAAAAATTAATTACTGGGATATTGTTAGTGTCTTCATGAGTGAAAACCGAGAGAAAATAATTATTAAGAATAGAGCACATTTCTTTCTCCTTGTCAGTAAGATGCCAAGAGTTATTTTTAAGGGACCTATCTTATCTCTAACTTTTGTTTTATAAACCTGGAAAAAAACTTTTTGGGTTAGCTTTCGATTCCCTAGCAACTTTAATTTCGTACTCCCGTTTAGCTTTTCTTATCCCATTTTAACGTTCCTCTTAATGTCAATGTACCGATTCGTAAGATGACTCTCACCTCTTTTGATATGTCTAAAAATTCCTTTCTTCTGCCCTAAAAGATATTTGAGCCTATTATTCATCCATTTTGGGTCATTTCTATTCGATTTAATTTCCTTATGTGGGATAAATGTTCTTTGGGCAGCATGTATTGTGTTAAGAAAGCTATCATACTGATAGCTTTAACAAGGGTTTCCTTGTTTGCCAGAACCAAGTCAGGCAGGTTATTTTCCCTTGTAGGCTCTGTCACAAATTGCCTCAAAAAGCAAGTCGTTAGATTCTAAATTCCCAATCAAGAAATTCCAATCAATATGACTAAAGTTAGTCTCCTAGAATTACTACATTATTGTGCCTTGTGGCCTTAACAATTTCCTCCCATAGTAGTCTCCCTTGGTCCCTATCTAAGTTTGGGGGACAGTATATCACTCCTAAACTCAATTTTTCATGCCCCTCTGAAAATTCTATCCAAACAGACTCTGTATGTGTTATTTCAGACTTAATACCCATTTTTATGCAACAGTTCAAGCGATCTCGGACATAGTGCCACCCCACCCCCCTTCCTGATACTTCTATCTACTTGGAACAATTTAAAATCCTGAATGTGACATTCTGAAGGCATGTCCCGACTTTTTTAATTAAACCACGTCTCAGTTATGGCAAATACATCAATGTTACCTGCACTAGCAACTAATTCAACTCGTCCATCTTATTCCTAGCACTACGGCTATTAGCATAATATACATTGAAAGACCCTCCTTTCTCTTTACCCTTCCTGATCATTTCTGTTTTTCTACTAAACCTATTACTGTTCTTTTCACCTAGTGGCACTGGCTTTCCACTATCTACCTTGTTCTGCTTATTACTAGTTACCCTAAAACACTGGGACTTCACTGTTTTCCCGCCAAAACCCATACCACTAACTATTCCTAGTTTAAAGTCCTAACAGCTCCCTCCACTGCAGTTGCCAGTGCCCCCACCCCAGACCTAGGTAAGTGTACCCCATCCCTGGCATACATGTCATTTCTGCCATAGAAGAGGTCCTAGTTGTCAATGAATGTTACTGCATTTTCCTTACAGTATTTGTCTAGCCAGCAGTTGACACCAATTTCCCTGGACAACCATTCGTTTCCAACTCCTCTCCTTGGCAAAATACCACATATGACAGGGTTCCCACCCTTCTGCCTAATTATTTCTATTGCTGACCTATACCTGCTAATCAGGTCCTCACTCCTATGTCTGCCAACATCTTTGCCTCCTGCACTGAGGCAGATAATAGGATTGCTCCCATTACCTTTCATGATGTCGTCCAGATGGCTAACAATATCTCCCATCCCAGCCCCAGGAAAGCATACTCTCTGCCTCCTCTTCTTGTCCCTAAGACAAAATGCCCTATCCATAAACTTAACCTGACTGTCTCCAACCAAAACAATGTTCTTACCTTCACTTGTGGAATTCGTCATGACGTTCTCGATGGTCTTCGTTGGGGTTTTTGGGGATGTTTCACTCGCGTCTGCCAATGCTTCCTTGGTGCTTGTTGTGATGTTCCCAGTAGACAACCCACATTCGTCAGGTAGCACCGAAAATGAGTTGGAAGTTTCCACAGTAGTCTTCTGGTTCTTCATTGTTTCTGCCTCTCCAACAGTCTTCTTGATCCTCAGCTTGGTTCCATGTTGTGCAATCAATGGCTAGGTTTCTCTCTTAACCTGAGGACTCACAACAGGATTACTACGAATCCTCTTATTCTCCTCCGTTAATCGTCGTATCTCCAGCTTAGCAACCCTAAGCTCCTCTTTTAGCTGCTGGTAGAGCTGCTTAAGAGAGGGCATCATGGTTCAGATTCACAGAGAGCACACAAACAAGTCTTCACAGAGCTAAGTACATGTCACCACTGACAGAGCTAAGTACACGTCACCACTGTCCAAAGCATGTCCAGATCCCTCCAGTATGGTGATATTGGGATGTTAGCCCTTTCAGTGGCTGTCACATAGGACTGTGTCATTAAGAACAGGGTCCCTTAGGTAGTTCTATGTTGTAAGCTCGGCTCACTCACATAAATTGTGAGCAGTAAATTTTGGCCCTAAATATGAGAGAATGAGTGCGCACATTATAAAAAAAATCCTGCCATATGCAGTGCATGATGGGAAAAACAAAAATGACCCTGTGGACAGTTTAATATATTGACATTTTTTTTTCTTGGTACCATTAAATAGGATGGAATGCATATTACTGAAATACAGATAATTTTATTTGGTTTCAGAACTGGAAGTACATACATGTAACTTAAAATTGAGCGGAAATATTTTTTTTACCGTTTTTCCTGAGGGCAAGTAAGGCTTCCCCACACCCCAGTCAGTTTTTTTTTTTTTTTTTTTTTTTATCACACTGGCCGATTCCCACCAAGGCAGGGTGGCCCGAAAAAGAAAAACTTTCACCATCATTCACTCCATCACTGTCTTGCCAGAAGGGTGCTTTACACTACAGTTTTTAAACTGCAACATTAACACCCCTCCTTCAGAGTGCAGGCACTGTACTTCCCATCTCCAGGACTCAAGTCCGGCCTGCCGGTTTCCCTGAACCCCTTCATAAATGTTACTTTGCTCACACTCCAACAGCACATCAAGTATTAAAAACCATTTGTCTCCATTCACTCCTATCAAACACGCTCATGCATACCTGCTGGAAGTCCAAGCCCCTCGCACACAAAACCTCCTTTACCCCCTCTCTCCAACCTTTCCTAGGCCGACCCCTACCCCGCCTTCCTTCCACTACAGACTGATACACTCTTGAAGTCATTCTGTTTCGCTCCATTCTCTCTACATGTCCAAACCACCTCAACAACCCTTCCTCAGCCCTCTGGACAACAGTTTTGGTAATCCCGCACCTCCTCCTAACTTCCAAACTACGAATTCTCTGCATTATATTCACACCACACATTGCCCTCAGACATGACATCTCCACTGCCTCCAGCCTTTTCCTCGCTGCAACATTCATCACCCATGCCTCACACCCATATAAGAGCGTTGGTAAAACTATACTCTCATACATTCCCCAGTTTTATGGGTTTTAATTAAACAGGTCTGATTCAATTACTGGGATGCCCAATCTTTCCTGGTTATACGTATTTTATTATTAGAGAAAGAGCAAATCTTCTATGTTTGCATGAATAAAAATTCAAAATGGAAGGTAAGCGTAATATAGGAGAGGCCTGGAAATGTGATTAATGAATAGAGGAAATGTTGTTTTAGTGCCAGGAATGTCTACATTCTTTATTATGGGCTCTATTTTTAAATTGGTATTTTTTTAATTTTGTGTAAAATTGGCCAAATTACTGAATTCTGTGTACTTTGTAGAGTGGTTGAAATAGTTAAATGAGTGGTTTCTTGTGCTCAATCAGTAGAACAGAAGGCACACTAGCAAAATAGCTAAGAAAATGGGGGTGAAAGTGCTGATGCATAAATTGTGCCAAGACCACTAACTGTGCCTGTGCAATTCTGTAAGTTTTCCATCAAATTTCGTGTTTTTGTTGTCATTACCTTCAGAAAACGATTCTCTACCATTTCAGAATTTTTTTTTTTAAATTGGACACCGAGAGCAACATAAATTTTGGGGGTCTGGACAATGAAAGAGTTAACACATTGTGTTCTCTGACGTGTACCCACATCTTTCAGCACAAATTCTGGGACACGAGGAAAAGACTGGAAAAGATAAAGGCAGTTCGATGACTATTTCATCCTATTGCTTCTCTTGAGATATGCTGGGATAAAGGCATGACTTACTGTGAATTCATAGGGATAGTTTTCTTTGCCTAATTTATGAAACAGTTTTATACTGTAATACGTTTATTTGTGTTTCTGCTGTTCTCATTTCTGCACTTGCTAACTATATTTACCATATTTTCATCATTCCTACCCTCAGATTCTTAGCATTTAAATATTTTACTTGTGGGGAAAATCTTAACCTGTAGGGGACAAAGTGCCTGGTGGTAAAGAAGGCATTCAGAGTTGATCCAGATGCCATTTGTTGTATAAAAAATTTATGCATGGTAAAAGATTGTTTATATAATCAAGGGAAGTTCTCTGCTAGATTTTTTTAGTGTACCTTATTAATTTATGCATTTTGTCTTTTCAGAAATAACTTCACTCTTGGCAAGGCACTACTTTAAGTAACAGCTTTAGTGATGCACCTTTAATTTTTTTTTTTTTTTTCTTATAGTGGCATTGGTAAGATTATTTTTTATTCTACCTTTAGCCTGGCTGGCTAATAATTGTAACTTTCTTTTATATTTGAAATCACTTACATACTGAATATGTATTATATAATGCATGTTAACCACGAGCTAGGCATTTTTTTCTACGAAATCTCCATTTTTGTTTTACATTTAAAACTAATTTATAGTGTATGTAACATTTGTTAAGTTACTGATTCATTTAAAGTACTGCAAGCCCTCACATTTTTGCTATTCTTATAATAAAATATAATTCTGAGAGCTATTTGCATACTCTATAAAAGTTTGAGAGGTCTTAGTTTTGAGAGTAGTAAAATATGCAGTAAATGTTTTAATATATAAAATAGTGTATTTTATATTAAATAATTTTTAAAAGGAAATTGTATTAGGACAGTAATAATTACAGTGCCTCCTGCCTCTTTTTATTGAGTCACAATCATAATCTGATCGACCCTTATGGGAACTTGTCCGGTGCTGGTGCACCGGACAAGTTACCGTAAGAAAGGAGCACTGCTGGAGGCTTCCTGGCCCAAGCTAAGCAGGTCCCAGGTCCAACTCGCACCCACCCATGTACTTGTCTAACTTACTTTTAAAGCTATACAAAGTTTCAGTGACGCTACTCACGATTTTGTTCCACTCGTCCACAACTCTGCTAACCTAATGTTTTCCTATATTCTTTCTAAATCTAAATTTTTCCAACATTAACCTATTGTAGCGAGTCCTGTGTTGGCTAAATATTTTTAGTGCTATAATGGTATCCCCTTTATTCATGTATTTCATTTATGCACCTCAGTCGTATCCCCACTAATTCTGTGCTTTTCTAGAGAGTGGAGGTTCAGTGGGAGAAACGTCCATCTCTCACTCGGCAGACGGAGGATTGAGCCTCCACCATATCTTGCACTGAATGATTCAAATGGGTTTAGTGCTTAACATGAATTAAACAACCTCCCACTTATCCATCAAAACAGTTCAGGACAGGCATGACCACTTGTGACACTGACCTTGGAGAACGGTGAAGTTATTTACTTAATACTATACACAAAACTGAGCCCAAATTAAGAACTGTATAGGAATAGAACTAAAATGTTAATTTTTCTTTTAACAAATCTGTACTCTCCTAATTGTGATTGCAGGGGTCGAGACTCAGCTCCTGGCCCTGCCTTTTCACTGATTGCTACTAGGTCCTCTCTCTCTGCTTCCTGAGCTTTGTCATACCTTGTCTTAAAGCTATGTATGGTTCCTGCCTCCACTACATCACTTTCTAGGCTATTCCACTTCCTGACGACTCTGTGACTGAGGAAATACTTCCTAACATCCCTGTGACTCGTCTGAGTCTTCAGCTTCCAATTGTGACCCCTTGTTTCTGTGTCCCCTCTCTGGAACATCTTGTCTCTGTGAATAACCTGTTCATTTTATCTAACAAGTAACATTTCTCCAAGAAGTATAACAGTTTAAATTTAGTTATTTGAAAAGCCATAGGGTAGTCCTAATTCCTTGAGCTGTATGACCCTGTTCTACCCTTAAACCTGATAATCTTTCGTTCCTAAGGTGCTGTACAATAATTACACCTATAGGTTTAGCAATCCCTCATAATAATTTGATTTATTATATTTAAATAATATCAGATAGTGTTCTTCACCAGCATTGAGGCATCCATCCTTAGGATAATTGTGGTTAAAATGTTGAGGGCTTACTGTATAATTTTCTTACATTCCGTGTTATTGATTGTTACAATTTGTTGTAATTGTAATATTGTTTCTGAAGTCCTAACTGCTTTAGGATACCAAGTAGTGTTGTCACACTAAATACAACAAAATTAATTAAATAATTTCTTTTTTAAGGTATAAGTTTAAGAGTGTTTAATGGTTATATAAAGGATAGTTTTTGCATACTGGAATTAGGTAAATAGCATGTATGCAATGAATTATAGTAGTATTGTTAATTTTTTGACCTTGTGGGTATAATGCTTAGTTTTGATTTTAATAATAATGTTTAGTTTATTAAAGAAACTTTGTATTTTGAATAAATATTGAAAAAAAAAATATATTTATTCTAGCTGCCTTAAATTTCCACTATTTTCCAATTTTGATCCATAAACCTGAAGGGTTGCTTGCATTTTTAAAGTTGGCATTGTATTTCTAAACTTCAAAAATAAAATCAGGATGACCATTATAACTACATATTGCACAAACCATTCAGTACTACCATCAAAAAATTAAATTTCTTTCAGGGGTCTGCTAAGTACAACTGCTGAAAAGACAGAAATTATTTTTGTTCCCTTCAATTTTGACAGATATCCTAGAAATTCTCACCAAAATTACTTAGTTATTAGTGGTATGTACTCCAATTATTATTATTATTATAATCAAAAAGAAGCGCTAAGCCACAAGGGCTATACAGCGCTGCAGGGCAGGAAGGAAGCGAGGGCATCAGGTGGCAAAAGGGAGGTAGATGAGTAATAGGTTACGGATAACAGCGGAGCAGTGGATGGTGAAAGGGTAAAGGGCAGCAAGAGACTGAGCTAGAAAGGGCTGAGGGGAGTGCGTAAGGTATCATCATCAGAGTTTGTGGAGTAAATCAGTCGTTGTCAGGAAGTCAATGAGAGAGTCAGGATTAAAGGAGGGTCCATCAGCAAGAAGGGAAGGTAAAGAGAGAGTAGTAGAACGAAGACGGCGTTGGAGGTAAATTCTGCGTGCTCGTTGATAGAGAGGGCAGTCTAACAAAATGTGGCTAATCGATACTGGAACTTGACACTGCTCACAGAGAGGTACAGGGTGCCTCTCCATGAGATACCTGTGAGTAAGACGAGTGTGGCCAATGCGAAGACGGGAGAGAGTGGTCTCCCAACCACGGCACTGATGACAAGAAGACGGCCAGTAACCTATGCTTGGTTTAATAGAATGAAGTTTGTTACCAAGCAGAGTTGACCAACGTTGTTGCCAACGGGCGTGAAGGTGGGTAGCTATTGCAGCAAAATAGTCCAGAAATGGAACACCTCTATAGGAAATTGGTAGGTCATGTATTGCTGACCGCGCAGCAGTGTCTGCCTGTTCATTGCCCTGTACGTCGACATGACCAGGGACCCAACAAAAAATAATATCTTTATGCTTCGTAGAGATACGACGTAGCCAAAGTTGGATACGGAGAACTAGGGGGTGAGATGTATCAAATTTTCGTATAGCCTGTAGAGCACTAAGGGAGTCTGAGACTACCACAAATGATGACACAGGCATAGATGCGATACGAATAAGTGCTGCAAGAATGGCATACAGTTCAGCAGTAAAAATGCTAGCCGAAGATAGTAAATGTCCCCGCACAATGCTGTCCGGAAACACTGCTGCGAATCCGACGCCGTCTGAAGACTTAGAGCCATCTGTGTACACAGCGGTGGCATGAGAATGGGAGTGGAAGTGATCAAGAAAAAGAGAGCGAGAAGCCACCGTAGGCAGTTGAGCTTTCGAGCAAGGAAGTGAGAAAGAACAGACCCGAACAGCTGGAACTTCCCAGGGGGGTAGGGAAAAGTGAGATGCTACATGAACATATAAAGGTGGTAACTGAAGGGAAATTCAAGGATTATGTGGAGTAAAATAAAGATTGGATGTGAAAAGTGGGTTATAGTAAGCGTGTATGCACCTGGAGAAGAGAGAAGTGTAGAGGAGAGAGAGAGATTCTGGGAAATGTTGAGTGAATGCGTGGGGAGTTTTGAATCAAGCGTGAGAGTAATAGTGGTTGGGGATTTCAATGCTAAAGTGGGTAAAAATGTTATGGAGGGAGTAGTAGGTAAATTTGGGGTGCCAGGGGTAAATGTAAATGGGGAGCCTTTAATTGAGCTATGTGTAGAAAGAAATTTGGTAATAAGTAATACATATTTTATGAAAAAAGAGGATAAATAAATATACAAGGTATGATGTAGCACGTAATGAAAGTAGTTTGTTAGATTATGTATTGGTGGATAAAAGGTTGATGGGTAGGCTCCAGGATGTACATGTTTGTAGAGGGGCAACTGATATATCGGATCATTATTTAGTTGTAGCTACAGTTAGAGTAAGAGGTAGATGGGAAAAGAGTAAGGTGGCAACAACAAGTAAGAGGGAGGTGAAAGTGTATAAACTAAGGGAGGAGGAAGTTCGGGCGAGATATAAGCGACTATTGGCAGAAAGGTGGGCTAGTGCAAAGATGAGTAGTGAGGGGGTTGAAGAGGGTTGGAATAGTTATAAAAATGCAGTATTAGAATGTGGGGCTGAAGTTTGTGGTTATAGGAGGGTGGGGACAGGAGGAAAGAGGAGTGATTGGTGGAATGATGAAGTAAAGGGTAATAAAAGAGAAAAAGGTAGCTTATGAGAGGTTTTTACAAAGCAGAAGTGTTATAAGAAGAGCAGAGTATATGGAGAGTAAAAGAAAGGTGAAGAGAGTGGTGAGAGTGCAAAAGGAGAGCAGATGAAAGAGTGGGAGAGGCACTGTCAAGAAATTTTAATGAAAATAAGAAAAAATTTTGGAGCGAGTTAAACAAGTTAAGAAAGCCTAGGGAAAGTATGGATTTGTCAGTTAAAAACAGAGTAGGGGAGTTAGTAGATGGGGAGAGGGAGGAAGAAAGGGAGGCGGTAATTTCATGCACTGGCCAGGGAGGTATACCATCTTTTAGGAGTGAAGAAGAACAGAATGTAAGTGTGGGGGAGGTACGTGAGGCATTACGTAGAATGAACGGGGGTAAAGCAGCTGGAACTGATGGGATCATGACAGAAATGTTAAAAGCAGGAGGGGATATAGTGTTGGAGTGGTTGGTACTTTTGTTTAATAAATGTATGAAAGAGGGGAAGGTACCTAGGGATTGGCGGAGAGCATGTATAGTCCCTTTATATAAAGGGAAAGGGGACAAAAGAGATTGTAAAAATTATAGAGGAATAAGTTTACTGAGTATACCAGGAAAAGTATACGGTAGGGTTATAATTGAAAGAATTAGAGGTAAGACAGAATGTAGGATTGTGGATGAGCAAGGAGGCTTCAGAGTGGGTAGGGGATGTGTAGATCAAGTGTTTACATTGAAGCATATATGTGAATAGTATTTAGATAAAGGTAGGGAAGTTTTTATTGCATTTATGGATTTAGAAAAGGCATATGATAGAGTGGATAGAGGAGCAATGTGGCAGATGTTGCAAGTATATGGAATAGGTGGTAAGTTACTAAATGCTGTAAAGAGCTTTTATGAGGATAGTGAGGCTCAGGTTAGGGTATGTAGAAGAGAGGGAGAATACTTCCCGGTAAAAGTAGGTCTTAGACAGGGATGTGTAATGTCACCATGGTTGTTTAATATATTTATAAATGGGGTTGTAAAAGAAGTAAATGCTAGGGTGTTCGGGAGAGGGGTGGGATTAAATTATGGGGAATCAAATTCAAAATGGGAACTGACAGTTACTTTTTGCTGATGATACTGTGCTTATGGGAGATTCTAAAGAAAAATTGCAAAGGTTAGTGGATGAGTTTGAGAATGTGTGTAAAGGTAGAAAGTTGAAAGTGAACATAGAAAAGAGTAAGGTGATGAGGGTATCAAATGATTTAGATAAAGAAAAAATTGGATATCAAATTGGGGAGGAGGAGTATGGAAGAAGTGAATGTTTTCAGATACTTGGGAGTTGACGTGTTAGCAGATGGGTTTATGAAGGATGAGGTTAATCATAGAATTGATGAGGGAAAAAAGGTGAGTGGTGCGTTGAGGTATATGTGGAATCAAAAAACGTTATCTATGGAGGCAAAGAAGGGAATGTATGAAAGTATAGTAGTACCAACACTCTTATATGGATGTGAAGCTTGGGTGGTAAATGCAGCAGCGAGGAGATGGTTGGAGGCAGTGGAGATGTCCTGTCTAAGGGCAATGTGTGGTGTAAATATTATGCAGAAAATTCGGAGTGTGGAAATTAGGAGAAGGTGTGGAGTTAATAAAAGCATTAATCAGAGGGCAGAAGAGGGGTTGTTGAGGTGGTTTGGTCATTTAGAGAGAATGGATCAAAGTAGAATGACATGGAAAGCATATAAATCTATAGGGAAAGGAAGGAGGGGTAGGGGTCATCCTTGAAAGGGTTGGAAAGGGGGGGTAAAGGAGGTTTTGTGGGCAAGGGGCTTGGACTTCCAGCAAGCTTGCATGAGCGTGTTAGATAGGAGTGAATGGAGACGAATGATACTTGGGACCTGACGATCTGTTGGAGTGTGAGCAGGGTAATATTTAGTGAAGGGATTCAGGGAAACCGGTTATTTTCATATAGTCGGACTTGAGTCCTGGAAATGGGAAGTACAGTGCCTGCACTTTAAAGGAGGGGTTTGGGATATTGGCAGTTTGGAGGGATATGTTGTGTATCTTTATACATATATGCTTCTAAACTGTTGTATTCTGAGCACCTCTGCAAAAACAGTGATAATGTGTGAGTGTGGTGAAAGTGTTGAATGATGATGAAAGTATTTTCTTTTTTGGGGATTTCCTTTCTTTTTTGGGTCACCCTGCCTCGGTGGGAGACGGCCGACTTGTTGAAAAAAAAAAAAACTGAAGGGAAGACGAGTGAATGTAGGCGAAGAGAAAAGGGACGGAGCAAACAGGGGCGGCGAACGAATAAAGAATGTCTACTAATATCGGTGACCATTCTATAAATGGAAGGATTGTGGAGATCGTGAGAGCGTACATAGTAGCGAAGGCAATGGGCATCACGGCGATCAGACAAGGATGGAACATTCACTTCTGCATAGAGGCTCTCAACAGGGGAAGAGCGAAAAGCACCAAGGCACAAACGTAATCCTTGGTGATGGATAGAGTTACAGCTAGAGAGAGTAGCAGGAGAGGCCGCGGAATAAATCTGGTCACCATAATCGAGTTTCGATAAAACGAGGGCTGAATGTAGGCGAAGCAGAGTTCGACGATCAGCTCCCCAGGAAAGATGAGCAAGGGTTTTAAGAAGGCTTAGCCGGCTGTGACAAGTTGCCTTCAGAGAGGTAATGCGAGGTTTCCAGGATAACCTACGGTCAAAGAGAAGGCCTAGAAACCTGACTGTATCACGTTCGGGGATACGGGAGCCATAGAGATACAAAGGATGATCGGAGATGACAGAGCGTCTAGTGAAAGTAATTTGGTGAGTTTTGGTACTTGAAAATTTAAACCCATGCGTGGTGGCCCAAGTGGAAACACGGTCGACCGCATGCTGGAAGAGAAACTGCAATGAGATGACAGTCAGCGCCAGCACAAGCAATAGCGAAGTCATCAATATAGAGTGATGACCAAATAT